TTTCCCAGTCAGCTGTAAGATAATAATTTAAGTTTTAAAGATGAAAACATATAGTATAAGATATGATACATGCTGAGGGTCAGAGAAAGTCATCTCTAATATAATTTAAGTTCTTTATAAATTACCTAGGGCTGCTTACAGTTTGTTTGAACCTCATATATATTTTTGCCTGTATTAAGGGGCATCACATTTGAATAACAGTCCTTCTCTCTCAAGCAGGTGGACAGGTGGATCACCCCCGTCTGGGAGTTAGATACCTGATGCCTGTATGCAGTGATTAAGTTAAGCTAAGGGCTTGCCCCATAAAGATCGCAAGTGCCCATGTACCGAGTTTTCACTTGGCAATTTGAAAGTAACTTTGTGCTCTAATACTGCATATGTACTTAACCTTTTGTGCCTGAACTATAACTCTCTGGCACTTTAACTTCCATCATGCAAATCACTGTATAGATTTTACAATTTAACACTGACACGTTTATAAAGCTTAAATGTTATAATGTCAAAATGGATGCATGAAGAACTGCAAAATACCTTGCTGAACTTTGTAGTGGAAAATTTTATTTGCATGTATCATTAGTTTTTATGTTTCGACAAGTTACGAGGGAAAAGATGTTCTGTTAGAAACAGTTGTTGCTGCTCAAGGAGAAAAACAAGAAGTGAATAAAGCCCAGTTCCTGTCATCGTTAGCAGAAAGTGTTCCAAATGTCAGCTAAAACAGAAGAACATGCCAAAGCCTAGTAATTAAGAGTAAAAGAATCACGCACATAAGCATAACCAGTAAAATTAGAGCAAAAACACCTAACTGTGATAGGCAGAATTAGAACCTTGTGTAGTTGTGTTCATAAAAGGTAATAGAATACTCTAAAGAGATGAAAGACAATGTATAAAAGGGAGCACCAGAAAGGAGAAGCATCTCTTCTGGGTACATGATTTTTGTAAGGCATACTGAAGACATCTTGCTGCAGCAATAAATTTTATACTCTTGCTTCTTCTGCTCAACCTTGTCTGCTTAATTTATTTACCTCTATTTCTAGATTTCCACGACAACTTATTGCCACCATGACGTCTAAAAACGTTTTGATGCAACGCATGTTATCTGTTTCTACATGGACACCACAGACACCTACACTTCTGCTTGCTTTATTAGGTAGTGTTTCTTCACAGCTCTACCACAGCATCTAACAATGCAGCAGCTCAACTCATCAAACAGCATGCTCACCACTCCTTTCTCAACTGAAAACATGATTGCCAGTAGTGTGCTGGCAGTTTGCTTCATACTGGGAGTCCCTGCTAACATAGCAGT